GGCCGCTTTGGTTCAATCGACGGGAGGGTGGGGTGGGGTGGGGGCGGCCACGTGACAGGGCCACTTTCGAGAGAGGGTGATAGGGTGACTGATGATGAAGAGGAGGAGGAAGATGGAAGAGGAGGAAGAAAGGAGGAGGAGGAGGGGGAGGAGGAGGAGGAGGAGAAGGAGGAGGAAAGAGGATGAACCTCTTCTTCTTCCTCCGCCTCCTCCTCCTCCTCCTCCTCCTCCTTTCTTCCCTCTTCATCTTCTCCCCCTCCTCCTTTCTTCATCGCTCTTCTTTTTTTTTTTTGTTTCGTTCGCATCTTCGCGTTTCTGCTTGTCTGATCTTGGTTCGTCACGTGGCCGCCCCCAACCCACCCTTCTTCGCGGCTATGGCCGCTTTGGTTGAGTCGACGGGAGTGGGGAGGGGGGTGGACGGCCACGTGGCGAGACAGGACCACTTCAGAGGGAGGGTAATAGGGTGAGTGATGATGAAGAGGAGGAAGGAGGAAGGAGGAGGAGGAGGAGGGAGGGAGGGGAGTGTAGCTTATCATGCCTGCCTCGATTTTCTGTTCTTACTAGTTACTCGTGTGAGTGCGCCGTGAGTGACTGCGGCGGCGTGGCGAAGCTGGGTACGCTTCAGCGTGAGCTTCTTTCACACGGTTTTTTCGGTATGGAGTTGTGTTTTTTTTTGTTTTGTTTTTTTTCTTATGTGCTTATACATATGGTCATCGAGCTGTGTGCTTTTTTGGTGCTTTTGGACGGTCCTAGTCCAATAGGTTTACGCAATGCTTCAGGTACTGTGGATCTGGGGATCGAATCCTGCCATCCACTGTCGAGTTGTGTGCTTTCTTTTTCTCTGACATGGGGACACGGAACAGCACTCAGACGTTTCTGAACTTTCGAAAGGCTATAGAACAACGGTATGAGGGGGAGAAGAAGCCGGGGAGAAGGGGAGGAGGAGGAAAGGGGAGGAAGAGGAAGCAACAACAAGGTGTGGCGTCAATGATTATAGACGGAGGAGGAGGAGGAGGAGGAGATGGACATGAAGGTAGCCGTCCGATCGATGCAGTAGGAACAGTGATTGTGTCATCTGAAAGGAGGGGGAGTGGCGGCTGACACTGAGGCCATTGGGTGAACCCCTCCCAAAGCAGACATCGAACCCTCGCTCGCCAACTGGTTTTCCATGTCGTTATGTGTTTCCTTCCCGTCCTGCCTTTACGTTCACGAGAGAAGGCCACGTGGACTTCTCTCGTGTGGAGAAGGCCACGTGGACTTCTCTCATGTGGAGAAGGCCACGTGGAACTTCTTTCGTGTGGAGAAGGACACGTGGACTTCTTTCGAAAGGAAGAAGATGGATGATCAAAGGAAGACCATGGATGATAGCAGCAAGATGACTGATAACAACACAGTATGCATCTTCTTCGCGGGACGATAAGCTGCGAAGAACAGCGCATGCTTGTAATGGAATAGGATAAGTAGACGACGAGCAATGGCCAACTCTTGCTTCCCATGCACACAATCGGTAGATAAAAAACGCTATTTATCCACGTGTACGCTATATATCCACGTGTCACAGCGTGCCCAGAAAGGCGATTCCGCCGACTTCTCTCCGATCCTCCTTCTCAGGGGACAATCCCTGCACCAAGCCTTGCGCCTCCCCTCCACCTCTTCTCCCCTCCTACCTCATCTCCCCTCCCACCTCAAAACTCCCAAAAAAATGCGCACACGGCTGGTCACACACAATGGTTCCGACCCCAAACACCCCATTCGCAAACCCATTTGTCAGCGGCCTGCCTGGCCGCGGGTTTGAGGAATTTGCGGTAACCTCCAGAGGTTACCGCAAAATCCTTATTCTTTTTTTATTTAATTTTCGTAAATGAATGCAAAGTTGAAAAGGGTATGCATGTGGCCACCTTCTGGATTGGATTGGTCACCTTTTTTCGCAGTGGCGGTTCGTCAATCACCTGAACTTCTTCGTCTGATTAGTTTGTTGAGAAAGAAAACCATGTTAGCTTACACCTGAAGTCCGCTGGGTTCGTCGACTATTGGCCGGACGGTACACACCTGAAGGCGGTGATCGAGTCCATATCATGCGAATCGAAGCGTGTCCCATAGACACATCCAGCCTCACGTACTAAGGAGGGGAAAAGAGGGGAGACTTCCTAGCAATAGCTCAACAGCGGCGGTCTTAGTGCAAACTGAAAAAAAATATAGACGATTACTCACTCGTCAGTTGCCGGCAACGAATATAGATTCGCCCGAACTCCTCTCCCTCTATCCGCCCACCGCGCCAAAACCTTCTCTTCTTGTCTGAGGCTGACCCCTTTGGAGGAGCCATCATGATTTTTTTTCAGCCTGTCAACCAAGTTATCGCCCCCTTAGCACATTCTAATTCCAGAATTCCAACCATCCCCTCCTCTTGTCGTCACTGCTCCTTCACCTTTCATCTCCTCTCAATATCTTTTTTTTGGGTTAAATGTTGCCATCAACAAACTCAGCAAGTCCAAAGAATAGCATCACCATGTCCAACCCCACCCGTTCCCTCACCACTGACATTCTTTTTTTTTTTTTTAACTACACTATGTTCTTCTCTCAAATTCTTTTTTCGCGTTAAGCTGTGGGCTTTATTTGCTTAATAAGCTGTGTGGGATTTTTTGAGTTGACTGTGCTCATCTTCGTTGGCCGTGTGCAGATTACAGGACCATCAGGAGGAGACAAGGAGCAGGAGAAGGGGAGGAGGGGGAGCGTGAAAGGGGGGAGGGGGGGGAGAGTGGGGGAGAGGGAGAGAGGAGATGGGGAACGTGCAGTGTCGACACTTGAGGATCTGTCCAGTGCGGGTTAGCACGTGCTTAAGCTGCATGTCATTTTTTTGAGTTGATTGTACTCGTCTCCGGTGGTGGGGTGCAGATTACAGGACCATCAGGAGGAGACAAGGAGGACGAGGGGAGCAGGGGGAGCGGGAGAAGGGGGGGGGGGGGGGGGAAGGGGGGGGGAAAGGGAGAGGAGATGGCCAACGTGCAGTGTCGACACTTATGGGTCCGCTCAGGACGTTTGACCTCCACATTCTTAACTCAGCTTGCCAGGCGTAGCTATGGAGCTAGCATCGTTGCTGCTGATCCACGGCGTGAAGCTGGTGAATTCCTCTCCGGCTATGATGGAACGAATACACGAGAGCGGTTTGAGGACCACAGCCATCCTGGCGATTGTCAAGGCATCAAGAATCATTGTGGGGGTGGAGGTGGCTTTTCCGCGCCCTTTCACAGTCGTACCTGCATGATCAAAAGTCAGCAAGTTGTCATCGGTGATGCCGGCGGCGGTGGCGGCTGGGGGGGTGATAGGTCGATTTCCTGCAGGCACTTTCATGTCAGCTTGCCGACTGATTTAGTAGCGGCTGGTGATGGTGAGATGGGGGCTCTTGCTGATGTGGCAGAGGCTCCTGCGCGGCGAAAAGTTGCGCCTTTGCCGGCGGATATCATTGTCCATGAGGGGGCGGGTGATGGGGAGCCAGAGGCGGCGGAGGCCTTAAAGCGCATCCCGCTTCTGCGGCTTATCCACGCTGCGCCTTTGTCGAGCGAGGGAGCAAAACGTGAAAACGTCAGCCTGCAGGAAGCAATTAGGAGTGTGAAGGGGAATGCCAGGGCGAAGTTCGATGAAACGGTTGAAGCGCACATTCGTCTGAGTGTGGATCCCCGCAGAGGCGACCAGATCGTGCGTGGATCGGCTGTGCTCCCTCATGGTGTCGGGAAAGTCGTCAGGGTCGCTGTATTTGCAGAAAGGAATAAGGCAGAGGAAGCCAAGTCAGCAGGCGCTGACGTGGTCGGCGCTGATGACCTCATTTCCCTCGTGAAGGAGAGTGGTGGTGGGAAGCTGCCCTTTGATCGCTGCATTGCTACGCCTGCGATGATGCCTCGTCTGGGACAGGTTGGCCGGATCTTAGGTCCCCGCGGACTCATGCCTAATCCTAAAGTGGGCACGGTGACCAACGATGTGGCAGCGGCCGTCAGGGCGGCAAAGTTTGGCCAGGTGGAGTTTCGAGCAGACAAGGGTGCAATAGTGCATGCGGGGCTGGGGAAGGTCAGCTTTCCGGAGGAGAGATTGCTCGACAACATAGCTGCTTTTTCGTCCGCCCTGCTAAAGGCGAAACCCGTCGGTCTGAAAGGGAGTAGCAAGTACCTTGGCTACTTCATCAGTTTTTCCCTATCTTCTACAATGGGTCCAGGAGTTAAGGTTGATATCCCGTCTCTAGCGGCTGTGGCAGACTCCTATGTACGCCGGGTTGAGCAGGTCCCTAATTCAGCGAAATAAAGAAAGAAATAATAATAAAAAGACATTATTGTAGTCTGCCGAACCTTGCCTTCCCCGTGCTGCTGCCCCGCCCAGGTTTCCACTCTCCCCCTTCTCTGTCTTCCCCTGATACCTCACCTCTGTCCCTCTTTGCCCTTCTCCTTTCCTGCCGCCCAACCGACCCCCGTCCCAATTCCGATCTTCCATTCTCCATGCTTGTCCCTTCCTTCTCCCTCGTTCCCTCCGTTCGTTTCTCCATGTTTGTCTCTCCCTCTCTCCCTCTCTCCCTCTGTCCCTCTCTGTCCCTCTCTGTCCCTCTCTGTCTCTGTCCCTCTCTGTCTCTGTCCTTCTCTGTCCCTCTCTGTCCCTCTCTGTCCCTCTCTGCCCCTCTCTGTCCCTATCTGTCCCTCTCCCCCTCTCTCCCTCTCTCCCTCTCTCCCTCCGTTTGTACCTCCTGCCCTGAGTCCTTTCCCTCTTTGTTTCTTCCTTTCAGCTTGATCTTTGCTTTCTCTTCCTCCGTCATAGATGGCTTGATGGGTGTGTTACAGTCCTCCCCCTGTGTTGCTCGATCCATTGGGTGCATATTGCGAAGCTGACTACCCTTTATACTTGCTCCCTTTTTAACCTGCCTTGTTCCTTTCGCCCCTTCCTCCCTTTTCTTTCTGCCTCGTCCTCTTATCTTTCTTTGTTTCCTTCCCTCTTTCTCTGTTTCTTTCTTCCTTCCTTTCTTTCTTTCGTCCTTCCTTCTTTTGTTTTTTCTTCGACACTGTTGTGCAGGTCTTGAAACGTGCAGCCGGGTCATATTTTTCTCTCTCTCATCCTGGTATGTCGCTGCTCCTGTGTGTAATCGTCATCGGAGGGACTGAGTGGAGGTGGAGCGCACAATGTTTGAGCCCTGGCCTGCCTGAAGTAGAGTGGCGGCCATGAGGGGACAAAACCAGGGGCTCCACCTTTTTTCCTCTAACAACAGAGATTGAATCGAAAAAAGGGAAAAAAAAAAACACAAAAATTGAATCAAAACTTTCAAAAGTTCAAGACATATCTGTTCAGATCAAAGAGATTTACTAAGGTAGGGTGGGAGTGGGCAGGCGAGAGTGTGGTGACATCGAAGAAGATCTAATCAATTATCTTATTGATTAGGGATGCTAGCACCTTTTGCGTGGGCCATGACGATGGGCCTCGCTCCACTAGAGAACACTCTACGTGCATTTGGGTGCATATTGCGAAGCTGACTACCCTTCTGGACCAGGTGCATTGGGACGGCTCAAACATTTTGAATGTACAGGGTCCTTATAGCAGCCAAATGCATGTAAAGTGTTGTGTAGTCGAGCGGCGCCCAAGGATCCAAAAAAAAAGAAAAGAAAAAAAAAGGATAAAAACGCTGTCTTTTTCCTGACCAAACGCGTCTAGTTCCTAATCCTACCCGCACCTCACATTCACGAACCCCGTTCAACTGAAGGAGCTGAAACCTCCGCCGGGTATCCAATCCAATAATGAATGCGTCGGTGCGGACAATCAGCAGGGAAGGAAGGACAATCAGCAGGGAAGGAAGTCTAAGACCCGTCTGAGTTCATTACCCTTCACAGAAGTGGATTTTGGGTACCACTTGCCCTTATGTTTGTTTCGGCTGGATCCATGAACTTCACCATAGACCGAAGAGAGCTTGCGAGCCCTTTCCGCTCGTTTCCAACATGCTGCGCGACCCCCATCGAGTCAGTCCGGATTGGGTGAGTTGGGTGCTGAAACACCGTCCTGAAGAAATTGAGAAAAAAAAAGTGGTGGTTTACCAACGAGGCAGCCCCTTGTGAACCAAGGAAGCGACCAAACACGCATGCTCTAAACTACTGAGTAGAGGTTCACGAGTAGGGTTTTGTGTTCAATGTGAGTGGTGCGGAAGAGATGAGCATAGCCTCACTCAAAAGTGAAGCACAATTTTTTTTTAGTTTTCTTCAGTGTCTAAGTGAACACCTACAAGATGTGAGAAAAGGTCAGTGCCTGTTAGTTAGTATGACGTCCGAATAGAACGCCCGGTCATTATAGCCATATTTGGCACAACTTTCGGTCCTGATGCAGCGATAATGACCGGGCGTGTTATTCGGGTGCAGACGGTAGGGGGGCTGCTGTGTTCCAGGTACGCTCTCTATGCCTGCCTGCGTGTTCCCTTATTATGGGCATAGCTCCGCTACTCGCCAAATGTGCAAAATGAAAATGAATCTTTTGCTAGATCATGGAAAGATACACCACCATGTTTTGTCATTTGTGCATGTGGTGAGTAGTGGAGCGAGGCCCTATGACAACCATTCTTTGAAGTGACACCCTCATTTTTTTTTTCTCTTCTTTTTTCACTCTGTGGAGCTCTACTTGCGGCGCGAGTATTGGATGTTCGGACTGGCTTGCCAGTGCTGCCCATTTACTTTGCCGTGTCTTTCCAGAACTGTTCGCCTGTTGGCCTTGCATGAACAGGCCTTGTATTAACAAGGCTCGAACATCAGACGTTTCGCGTCGGAATCCCACGCATTGGAACCGCTGCCGAAGGATGCGTTACATTACATCCGCTTACCTTTAGAAAAAGAGAAACGTTACGTCCGCTTCGCAGATGATTTTGCAGGAACAATCTCTGGTCTACGATCAGTAGCAGTGAAACTGAGATCTGCAGACCGAAAAAAAAAAAAAAAAAACGAGTTGAGAATCTTGAGATCTGAATTGGATCCGTTCCTTAGAAACTTGCTACTCTTTTGCTTTGCCTTTCGCGGCCACTACATCGGCATCGCATATGGTTTTTCAGTAGTTTTTTAGTAGCAAGTGCTGCCACGATCAGTGGCAGTGAAACTGTCATCGATACAAAACAACAACAACAACAACAACAACAACAACAACAACAACAACAACTACAGAGATCTGAATTGCAATCGTTCCTTAGAGACTAGCTACTCTTCTGCTTCGCCTTTCGCTGCCACTATTTATAATTTATAAAAGAAAAAAGAGGAAAAAAGTTCAGAAAACGTCACATCCGCTTCGCATATGTTTTCCTAGTAGCAGTCGCTGGTTCATGATCAGCAGCAGTGAAACTGAGATCTGTACTGAAAAAAGAAAAGAAGAAAAAAGTTCAAAAAACTGAGATGATGTGAGACCTGCCACTCTTTTGCTTTGCCTTTCAGCGCCGCTTCTGCTCACCTGTCCTGTTGTGTTGCTGTCTGCCCTTGTGCCTGGTTTGCTCGCTCACCCGGCTGTTCTGTGCATTAGTGTTGGCCCGTTGGGCCTGACTCCACAACTCACCAAATTTGCAAAATGAGAATCAATCGTCCGCTAGAACATGGGAAGACACACCACCATATTTTTTGACTTTTACGCATGGCATTGTGCAGAGTAGTGGAGCGAGGCCTGTTGTCTATATACCCCTTTGCGTTGTTGTTCCTTGCTGCTGCATGCTGAGCTGCTTGCAGTGTCATTTTCCTGACTACTGGCGCTTCCCAGCAAGGCAATGCAAGGAACCGGGGGAAACGGGTTTTGAACCCACGACTTCTGGCGTGACAGACGTTTGTTCGATTTCAATTTCAAATTAATCGCTGAGGCAGTGAGACAGAAGGGCAAGCCAAAGGGCAGCGCTATGCGCAGGACAGCAGCGAGGCAGGAGGGCAACAAGGGAGCAATATACACAGCGGGGAGCTGTTGAGCAGGAAAACAAGATGCGGTCAAGGCAGTGGGCGGGCGGGCGGGCACGAAACGGCACAACAAGGCATCACAATGACACATGTCAAGCAAAAAAGGCACTCGACAGAGTAGCACTATGTTGTTCCCCCGAACATAACGCACCCTGATTCTGAATGTACACAAGCCATCTTTCCGGTTGGATGCGGTCGTAATGAGGGTGAGTATGCAGCACATAACAGGGGAAGCCTACTCAACAGAAGGACACAGCAAGGCTTCACAGCCCAGTGGGCTCCCCAACAACTCGATGGAAGCAGCAAGGCAAGCCAAAGGAAAGTACTATGAGCGGGATGGGGGCTACTGTTGTCCCCCGAACACAATGCAGCTGGATAATGAATGTATGCAAGCTGTCTTTCCGGTTGTATGCAGTCATCATGATAAGGAGGGTGCATTGTGTTCGGGGGAGGACGGTAGGCAGCAATGCAACCAGCGGGGGGCTATTGATCGCCAAAGCATCAAGGCGTCAAGGCAATTGGCAGGCGGGCATACAAAGGCACAACATGGCCCTCAAGACAATGACAGCACATAGCAAAGCAAGTGGGCGGCCAGATGGGGGTGCGAACTGGATACCAACACATCAAGGCAAGCTGCAACACAGGAACCCATGGATGCAGCAAAGGAACAATGCGGGACTATCTATCGCCTCTTACCATCATATGGAAAACCCTGCAGACTGTAGGTTCACAACACCACCAAAACCTACGTCTATCACGGCCGGGAAACGCTGAGACACGGGCATCCTAAATGCAGCAGCCCCTCTAATTGTGATTCAGGCATTCCATACAAACGGGTACCCACTATTTGTGTGTGTGTGTGTGTGTGTGTGTGTGTGTGTGTGTGTGTGTGTGTGTGTGTGTGTGTGTGTGTGTGTGTACATACTAAGTCTTGGCAAATATGTGCGGAGTAGTTCTACGAAAGCAGAAATGTTTTGCTTTCTGGATACCCACAAGGGCCACAACGCAAAGGAGGAGGAGGTAAATGGACAGGGTCAATGCATGTGTCGTAACAACTGGCAGTGATACAAGCTGCAACACGCAAACATTTGTGTAGTCAGTGGTCAAAAGCAATTGCAATGCATCTTTGACGTGCCTACCGTCGTCCCAAGAACACAACACACCCTGATAGGGTTCGTGAACGTGAGGTGCGGGTAGGATTAGGAACTAGACGCGTTCGGTCAGGAAAGAGATGGCGTTTTCCTATGTATTGCGTTGAATAAGAGCGCACATACCAGGGCTCGAAGAGCGGGAACCAGGCCACGAAGTGGCAACAGCACCTGAAGCGCAATCTGCGGATGTTTACAAGCTATCTTTCCGGTCCTTTGCAGCCAAAATGAGGGTGTGTGGTGT